GGTTTAGGGTTTAGGGGGTTATAATGGGTTGGCTACTATTGGGACAATGGAAAATACGATGGAAACTACTACTTAGGCAACCTGAAGCAGTTTCCATTTCATGTTCCGCTCCCTTTGCCATTTCGTTCTCCGTTTTTTGCTCTGTGTATAGCTATTTGGTCATTATACAGCCGTATATACTCCTGCTAATGCTCCCTACATACTATATCCCAATATACTTCCTAAATACTCCCAATCCCTATACCCTCCTTCATACCCCAGTTTGCATGCCAGGGTACGGAGCCACCCGGGGATGCCCCGGTGACAAAGCAGGCGCGCGAGTCTGGACTTGCTGAAAGTTACCCGTGCTTAGGGCTTAGGGTTGAGGGTTGAGGGTTTTGGGGTAAGGGTTTAGGGATTAGGATTAGGGTTCAAGGTTGAGGGATTAGGGTTTAGGGTCTAGGGTTTAATATCTTGATCCTTTTGGGGTCTCTATCATCCGGCCCCTGCGCAAATAGGGGCAACCCTAAACCCTAAACCCTAAACTCCCTAAACCCTAAGCCTTAAACCTAAACCCTAAACCTTTGCAATGTGCAGCAGTCGGCAGGCAAGTACAAAGGCGTGTTTTGTGAGTGCAGTCTCCCAGATCGTCCCTTGGCTGAGAGGTTGAGGGGTTTTGGGGTCTATGGTGGGATAATATTGGGGTTTAGGGTTTAGGGTTTAGGGGTTATATTATATTGGGATACTGGAAAATGGAAACGACTCTTGAGGGTTTAGGGTTAGGGTCTAGGGCTTATCGTTTCTCTGCTGCGGGGAGGAATATACCTGGTCTGCAAGTCTCCCGAAATTAAGGACCCCCTCTTCGGGGTCCCCATAGTAAGCGTTGTAGTAGGGTTTAGGGTTTAGGGGTTTAAGGGTTTAAGGGTTTTAGGGGTTTAAATTCAGGTCGCCTATTGATGGAAACCCCAACTTTGGTGTATGCCTTATGAGGACCCCCACCCTGTAACAGTCATAGAAAAGGAATATAAGAGGACCCTAATATATTCCTTATTATCCCTTATAGTCACTGTTAGTCGTTCGATGGAGATATATAGGGGTTATATTGGGGTTGTGTGGGGTTTAGGTAGGCCTTATAGGGTTCTACAGGGCTTATATTGGGGTTATATAAGGATTCTATAGGGTTTAGGTAGGGTTTATAGGGTTTTTATTGGGGTTAAATAGGGGTTCTATAGGGTTTATGCCTTGTGGGCAAACCATTTGTCCCTGCAACAACAAGCCAAAACAGAAGACGCTGACCTCCACAGCTGTTGCCGCGACCACCTAGACATACATTCGTGGACCCCCGTCTAGTATACAACCCCAATATAACCCCTGTATAATTCTATAGTATAGTAGCTTGCATTTTCTTCTCCATAATATCCCTATATAACCCCAGTAGAACCCTAAACCCTAAACCCTAAACCGCACCCAGTTGGGGGTTGAGAGTTTAGAGGTTTTGAGGCTGAAGTGCGTCACGGGGGTGGGCCAAGCACGTGTGGCCATGCTCACGGCAGAGCACTGTTGGTTGTCTGGGTTGCTGTTAAGGAACTTAAATTAAGTTACCATAATGGGTATATACAGTAAATAATAGGCGTTCCACAATATAGTAACTTAATTTAAGTTCCTTAACAGCAACCCAGTTGTTTTTGCTCGTAACCGGCCATTCTGACCGAACTGTGCTGAAGTGTGTTTAGGGTTTAGGGTTTAGGGGTGTGCAAGTTTCATGTAAGATCCTCTTTGTCGAGCGCATGAACATGTCACTGTCAAGGTTTGTGAAGTCGCGCAGCATTACAGAATCAGCTACTTTTGGCAGTGAGACCGGCGCTGTGAACAGACAGGAGTAGTGTTTCGGAAAGGTGCAATGTTGGCGGGCAGAGCAAACTGAGACTCAGACAGCCTCAGCTGATGTTGTCCAGTCTTTTCAGAGTCCTTTCGTCAAGTTTGCTTGGATAGTTTAGATCTGTGATTATAAGCCCCCTCCTTGCCAGGGCCTTAATCTTAAGGATCCCTATTATAATCCCTGTTAATGGCAGGGGTTCAGTAATCGGGGGTCTACTTTTTACTATCTCAGATCTGCCGCCTCATGCATATCGGCCCAACTCCGAGGGTAGCATGGGCTGCGCATAATGTGGACCCGTGATTCATAGACCCCTCCCCTTAATATGAGCCATAGTCTAAACTCCTTAAAGGGGGTTATATAGGGGATTATATAGGGGACTACTATAGGGGTTATTAAGAGGGATACTAGGAGTTTAGACAGTAGCTCATATGGGTTATAATAGGGATTTTCATGTTAAGGTCATTCAAAGGAGGGGTTTATATGAATCACGGGTCTACATTAACCTCCACTGCGTCTAGCGCAGTTGTCTTGATATCACCACAGTCCGGCTGCATGGAAGCTGGCAAGGGATGAAGCGGAAAAGAAGATGGAAACTGGGGGTTAGATGGGGATATATATATATATATACGCATACATAAACGTATACATATATAAATATATGTGTATGTGCTACCCCTCCCCCCTAAGGATCTACCGATTCTGGTGCCCATGGAGCTGAAATTATATATATTTCGTATATAGGTGGTATTCTATCCTCTATAAGGTATTCTGTAGTATGTTCAAGACTGCATTCTATAGGGCACTCTATAGGGGATCTCTATCAGCTATATATGATGTTCCCTTTATGCCTTATAAATACCCTATGGAATACCCTATAGAACACTTTATAGAATGAATATCATACAGAATACCCTGTAGAATACCAGATAAGGATTTATATAGGGAAAATCTGAGAATTCACTGATTAAAATATAGCTCATAGAGTAAATGATTTAAAATGCAGGAAATCAGAAGAAATCTACTAGAATAGCCTATAGAATACCAAATCTATGTAACGTAAAGAGTGTAATATAGAAAAGACATTATAGAATACCCTATATATACACCTCATATATACCTTATTGAATATCCTATAGTCTATAAAATACCTTATAGAATACCTTCAGAGAAACCACGTAAATATACACGTTATAGAATACCATATATAATGTCTTCTGGAACACCTTATAGAATAACCTTTAGCATACCTTATAGAATACTTTATACAATACCCCCTGTATACCACGCCTGAAAGAATACTATCTAAAATGCCCTATAGATATACCTTATAAAATACCCCATGCATATGACACCCTCTGTATACCTTATACATACCCTATAGAATACTATATAGGGTACCCTAGAGATAAAGAATTATATAGAGAAAATCAGGACGAGCCTAAGATCTGAGAATTCGCCTATTAAGTTAGAGATAACACCTTGTAGGATACCTCCGATATACCTTATACATACCTTATTGTGCACACAATTAAAAACCCTATAGCCTGTATAATGCCTTATGGAACATTTTCTCAGTACCATCTATGTATACCTTGCAGAATACCATATAGAATACCATATATGATTCCTCATAGAATGCTGTATAGGATAACTTCTAGAATGCCCCCTAACAATCTTATGTACCTCCTACTTACCTTATAGAATACCATCTGGAATACCCTATATGGTATTCTATTTTATAAGGTATTATCCAGGGTATTACATATACATTCTTAGGTTACGGTATATAGAGAGGGTATTCTGTAAGGTATGCTAGAGGCTATTAGCCTAGATTTCTGATTTCCTTCACTTAAAATCCCTTATTCAATAAGCTAGAATTTTATTGTGGAATTCTCAGATCTTGGGCTCCTCCTGATTTTCATTATTTAAACCCTTATCTAGATGGCACTATATAGGGTATTCTGAAGGGTATTCTATGAGTGTTCTATAGGTTATACAGGGGGTATCATATTTACGGGATATTCTATAAGGTATTTGATGCGGTATTCTAGATAGCTTTGTATAAGTTATACATAGGCTATATAGGGTACATAGGGGGTATTGCATAAAGTATTCTATAGTCCCAGTCAAAACCAAGACGGAGAAACCAAAAAAACCAAACCAAAAAAACAAAAAGACAAAAAACAACAATATTCCAGAAGTCCTCTTCCCAAGGCTCAAGACTAGGACTTCTGGAAAATTGAGGTGTGTGTGTGTGTTTTTTTTCTTTTCCGGTTTGTGTTTTATTTCGAGTTTTCCGGTTTGGCTTTGACTGGGACTTCTGGAAAATTTGTGTTTTTTGTGTGTTTTTGATATTGTTTTGATTTCTTTTTTTTTTTTTT